TTTTTTCCAGAACCCTCTCAACATAATCTTTAAATTTAGGGGCGGACATTAGCAACTTTTTTTTTTTGTATGGGGACCGACCCAGTCTAGTGTACATACATATGTACATCCATACATGCATATATCCATGTATGCATACAAACTCCACCAAAGTTGAGTTTTATCGATTTGAAAGATTATTTACTAATAAATATTATTAAACTCAAACTCTGTATAATAACATACATACATGCATGCAAAATACTACGCGAATATCGATGCTCAAAGTACATAATTAAGCGGTTTACAGTCGGACTATCGCTTGCAAAGGTAATCTGGTTAATAAATAGAACAAATGTTGGAGCTTAGTAACTTATAGAGAATACAATGGGCCTCATGCATGATGAGTGGGCTTAAGCAGCGACTCGATTTTCAATACCAATTTTTCTTCTTCGGTACAAAAAATGAGTCTGAGCGTAAACATGCATATGGCCCAGTATTTTTGACAATCATATTTTCTATTTTTTGAATCGCATATTTGTTTAATTTTTTGTTTAGAAAAAAAGTAAAATATTTCTATTCATGAGTACCAGCGGATGGTTCTTAAGCAATGTTTTTCCTATATACAAAATATTATCCCTTAGGATAATAGTGCAAGGTTGCCACTTATTTTCGATTCTACACAATTTATCTAAAACATCGCAATATGGATATCAAATTAAAGGTACTGTTGAGAACTTTGGTCAGAAAATATTTTCCATCAGGGTTGCCACGCTTCTATGTAATACAAATTTTTATTTTGTTAATATCAATCATCATTTTTTTTTTATGTGTACACAGTACAAATACGCTCAAGATATGTAGCATTTATTCCAGCGTATTCCTGAATAGGGTTGCCACCTAAATTTTGGAGTAAGAAATTTACTTAATAGATATTGAAATCTATTTTTTTTTTCTAATTCTAAAATATTTTTTTAAAGCTATCCAAATCTTGGAAACTTTAAAAATTATATACACTCCGGGCAAAGCTCGGTCAAGCTGGTACTAAACATTATTTGCGGTCCCGGGATTAGCACATAGAAAATACGATTGTCAAAAATACTCGGCCAAATGCATGTTTAAGCTCAGACTCATTTTTTGTACCGAAGAAGAAAAATTGGTATTGAAAATCGAGTCGCTGCTTAAGCCCACTCATCATGCATGAGGCCCATTGTATTCTCTATAGTTACTAAGCTCCAACATTTGTTCTATTTATTAACCAGATTACCTTTGCAAGCGATAGTCCGACTGTAAGCCGCTTAAGTATGTATGTACTTTGAGCATCGATATTCACGTAGTATTTTGTATGCATGTATGTATGTTATTATACAGAGTTTGAGTTTAATAATATTTATTAGTAAATAATCTCTCAAATGGAGATTATTCAACATTGGTGGAGTTTATATGTATACATGGATATAAGTAAAAAATTCGCATAAAAATAAAAAAAAAATCTAAGAAATCATAATAAGGAGATTTTTATGCTGTTTTTGAAATTTTTCAAAGATTGTAATCCCGACGGTAAAAAGGCAACTTTTTTGGTGATGCAGTCTAATGTACATATTGTCGATGTTTTTGCAAAACCGCCCCTCGACCAGTTGCAAAACCGCTTAAATCGCCGTTGTGGCAAAAATGAGATTTGGTAACCCTGAACTCCAGGCATCGAGATTTATGCATAAAAATCATTAAATCATTATTAAAACAACAGATTTGTAAAATAATAGCCAGACAATATACCACCTATCAAGGCAATGCCTTCAAAGAATAAACCGTTTTTTCGCTTTCCTGTAAAATTTGAGTGCCGTAAGATAGGCGGTTTTGCAATTAATTGGTGGATGGGCGGTTTTGCAAAAACATCGACGATATGTATGTATGTGGACTTTTATGCGTACATATTTGTATGTACAGTGCCAGACAAAAGTATTGGCACACATGTTTGTACAGGTCGTACACATATATATATATATATACAGTGTCGGATAAAAGTTTTTTATTCTAATTTATTCTCGATATTTTTTTTATAAAAATATATGTAATTCGTACTTCACCAAAAACTGTACAAAAAAAATCTCTAAGCTTTGTACAAAACTCAAGTAAATTCAACAAATTTGCATACTAATTTGCAACTTTCTATTCAGATTTTTTAGAAAAATTCCAAGTAGGCTTTAAAACTGCCCATTCAATTTTAGTATAACAAAGTGCAAGTTTGAAGTTGCTAAAAATTCGCATTAATTTTTTGGAATTTTTTTCACTCAGATAGTTCCATACAAAGTGTGTTCGACAATTATTTTTTGTATGGAGAAATTGCCAAAAATCAACGGGATTTTTTAGATACTTCGAACTTGCACTTTGTTATACTAAAATTGAATGGGCTATAAAACTGAATTTTTCTAAAAAATCTGAATAGAAAGTTTATTGAATTTTTCTGAGTTTTGCACAAAGTTTGCAAAAGTACGAACTATATTTTTATTAAAAAATATTGAAAATAAATTAGAATAAAAAGCTTTGCATGTATTGCGAAAATTTCTCTGTGCCCATACTTTTGTCCGGCACTGTATGTAGCTCGAGAATGTCCAGAAACAAGTATAAATGCTTCGGCGCGAACACTGCCCGCTAACAGTAATTTGTTGCTATTCAAAGCGTTTGGTTGGCGTTTTGTTTAAAGTTTAGTTTTTATTTCTTAGTGATTAATCAAATTTTAATAAAATAAACCACAAACAAAAAATACCAAAGGATGTTTACCATTATCGCCGTAATCGTAGTCAGCACGCTAGTCGCACTACTCACCTACGTCTATGCCAATTATGGACGTCGATACTCATTAGGCCGCCGATTTCGCGGACCACCAGCGCTGCCCATCATTGGCAATGCGCTACTCTTCCTAGACATCCAGCCAGACGAATTTATCAGCCGCCTCCTGGCGATGATCAAAGAATATGGAAAAACATTTCGCCTTTGGTTGGGCCTCGATCTCAATATTATGATGCACGATTTCCGCGATATTGAAATTTTGCTCAGCTCCCCAAAGTTTACCACAAAATCAGATCAATATCGCTTCTTGAAAGACTGGCTGCGTGATGGTCTGCTACTGTCGAATGGACGCAAATACCAACAACGACGAAAGCTGGTAACACCTGCATTCCACTTCAAGATGATGGAAGGTTTTTTGAACTGCTTTCACGAGCATTCCGGGGTGTTGGTGAAGCAAATGAGAAAGATATGTGCTGAAAGGCGGTCGTTTGAGCTGCTGCATACGGTGGGTCTCTGCATGTTGGATACAATTTGTGGTAAGTGATTGCGTGGAAGCGGAATGAGTGAAAATATTGAATCATTTGTGGCCTTTTGCTCGTTGATGTCTTCGCAGACACAGCAATGGGTGTGCATACGCAAGCGCAACGCAATGAAGACTCGGAATATGTAAGAGCACTGAGAAGGTGAGTTAGTATAAAAATATGTAAAAGTCACTAGTGTAAATGCAATCACAGTGAACAACGAGTTTATTGACTTTCCGAAATGAGGATGAAGCCATTTGCTCGTCCGAGGTTTGTAAGATGGAATGGACGAAGTAAGAAACCTAGTGGCAGAGTGGTCTTAGAACTTTCTCGAAATTCCGTTGCTTCAATAGCAATGCCGAGAGCTTAGGAGACCAGAACAGCTTCCAGAGTCGACACCTTGCTCCGGCTA